GGAAGCTCACTCAGCATTGATGGTTGTCCTCCTTACTTCTGAATATGCTGCTAAGCAAACTTCTATTTACTTGAGTTTATGGAGTAACCACATGTTAATTGCTTCTCAATCACCTGTGAAACTCTTTTTCTTAATGTACCATATTACAATGACATTAAAGCAGATGTACACTCTCTTTCAGTTAAAAAGCCCAAGTTGAAAGTATGGATTTTCAAGCAGGATCTATAATTTATCATTTCACCAAAGAGGGATCTCAGAAAAAAATCACATTGTATTTTTCCTGAATACAAAATGCAAGAAGATGTAGACATCATTTTTTTGACTTCGTGGTCCAATAATAGAATCCTCTGAAGTAAAAAAATCTGCTAACATTGCTGATCAACTTGCTGCACAAAAACAACAGGGTTTGAATGGTCTGTAACCATTAATTGCCTCAGCACCTCTCTCTGGAAGATTACCACAGACAGAGGATTTTAATTTGGGAATTTAGATTACTGAACCAGCACCTTTCCCATATTCATATTGGTCACACTGGCACCTCTTGTCAAGGAAGGAGTGGGAATTCCTGGCTTTTCTTCCCTTTTTCCTTGGGCAGAGTACCCCTAGGAACGTACACCAAGCTCCATTGCTGCAAATCCCCTGCTTTATGGGAACACAAAAAAGATCAAACAGCTTGTAATTTAAAAAAAAACTGGAAGCTATGTACAATAATCAGTTCTTTGAAGCACTTGAATTTATATGAAAAATGCATGGAGAACAAACTGAGAGTGAATGTGTGCAAAGGAACTGCTTCCTGAGTTAAAACGTGATCTTTGAATTATCCCAAGATGACTATGATTTTAATTTGTTCTGTGATCTCTTTATTTGGAGTGGAATGGTGTAATTCTTACATAATTGGGTTATTTAGCATGAGCTTCTGACAGTGTCATTGACTGTGGCATCAGGGTCCAGGTAAGAAGGCAACTAGCAATAAAAACTTGGGTTTTCTGCATCTTAAATGTAAAAAAAAAATGGGAGAGGGTTGCAAACATGCAATTTAGGAAGAATTGTGGCCCCATCAACAAAAAGAGCAAAAAGCTTCACTGTTTATGCAGGTATGTGGTTAGTCCTTATTAATTTTTACCCTACATGGATATAAGGAGAGTAATGACTTTCTGCAACAGAGCACCATCCTCCAGATATTTGTACATCCATCTCAGCTTTGTTTCAGGCTTTTATAAAAGTATGAAGGTGTCAAGGTATTCTAATAGTCCTAGAAGTAAACAGAAAAGTAAACATATTTTCAGAAAGGTCAATCAATCATTTACTGTAAGTTTTATGCTCGAATGCTGCATGTAAGTTTCTTGGCAAAGTTTCAGAAGATCCTTAAGACTCCTTTATGTCATGTCTAAACATCAGAGTAAAAACCAAAGATCCTTAAGACTCCTTTATGTCATGCCTAAACTTCAGAGTAAAAACCAATGTGCTTGTTGCTGGGATTCTTTTTGACCTTTAACTTTATATTTTTTAAGTTATATGAAAGAAGAGAGGAAAACCGATAATATGCAAGGCTTGGGAAGCAGAATAGAAGTACCCTATTAGTACATCCCCAGGTGCAGACAATTCATGCTTGAAGGCAAGGTAACTATTTTTGGTCCTTTCTTGGAAGTTCCATCTCACAAATGCATTCAGAATACAAAGACCAAGTAGTCAATAGGATAAAAGCACTGCTGCCTTTGGCTGTTTGGAGGCCACAAACAGTACAAGAGGCCACTTCAGAAGCCAAGTACTTATCTAAAACAATAAAAAATGTCATAAACAAAGCAGTCCTTGAAGAGACAGAAGAGCTTTGTGTTCAGATGTTGAGAGAAAACATGAAAATTTAGCCCTGGATTTTTCTCTCCTGAAAGCTGAATCTCCGATGTTTTGCTGGAGTTCACATAATGAGCAAATAAATATAAGTTTTGCCACACTTGAGTAAGTAATGTTGCAAAGCTGAGATAGGAAAATAAGGGCTGAAAGGAGCAGATTATTAAAAAGCTGAAATTTCTGTTCAGCTTGCATTTTCCACATCTGTTGTTTCCTTCTTATTCCCCAGCTTAAATATAGTGAAAAGTTGCTCAGATGAGCAGGCAAGAATTACTTAGACACACAGCATAGATTAAAATGGCAAACTGCCACAGTCTTTAGCACAGAGGCACAGTACTGTAATCCTACCAGGCCTAAATTGAATCCAATTTAGGTTTATAGGATAACACAGCTGAGGAGAAGGGGTGAAACCAAAGTATTTTTGTCCACTCAGCTCAAGTGTAGTGCCAAGAGATAGGAGTTGTTTCCCCTAGGATCAAAGGTCTGGCCTTTGTACAAAGCTCACCCATGCAGAAACCTCTCGAGAGGCAAATCCTGGCACAATGATGAAAGGCTTGACGTCTTTTATTTTACTTCTGCTGACACTGGACCTCACCTCCTCACTCCAGCAACTTCAGAAGAGCCAGGATAGACATGAAAGAGCATGGTTTCTATCCTGATGCTATTAAAAGAGCCAAGTTGGGCAACTCTGGCCCATCTAGCTGGAATTGTTACCACAGAGGGTTGTTCTTCAAATCACTATCTTCTAGGCCAGCTTACATGAGGGCTAATGAAAGAATTCTTAATAGATATCTAAGAAAGAACAGAGCTCACTCCCTCTCCCCTGCCTAACAGGAGGAGGGCAGCAATGAGTCTCAGTAGTTCTGAGGACAAAATACATTCATTTTAGTGATAACTCAAACACCAACACACCCTAAAATCCCACTACCTACTCATAGATGCAATAAAAGAGAGAGATTGCCGTATTATGAAGGTTGGCACAATCTTTTTTCACATATTTCACTGCTGCAAATAAAGGACTACTAAAAAAGGCATACAAGAGAGCTGTGTGTGAGGCTGCAATGTTTGATAAACACCAGGTTGCTGAAACTAAAATTGTCTTCTAGAAGACCTAGCTTTTAAAGAATTTGGGAAACCTTGCAATGTCACTGAGTGATGTGAGTGAACAGATCTAGAATGTAGAAAGTGTCGGTAGAGAAAGCAATGTTAAGAATTGTTAGCCACTATTTAGACACTATTGAGGATGGAAAATTCCTTAAAGAACTGTTTGCAAGTGTTTATTTTTTCCACAATAAATGTAATCTCCTAAGAGAATGAAGTGTCTGATGCTTCATGGGAAACCTCTCTGTGCAATAATTTTGTTCAGACTGCTAAATCTTGCACAATTGATCCTCTACACGTAGAGGATATATTGCAAACATCAATAACATGCTGCTTGGCAATAGTACTAGATGTGTGAAATCTGGATTTTAGGTTTTAATTCTCTAAGACAAAGCCAGTGGACTGCACAATTTTGCTTCTTAAGTGAATACCTAAGTAACAGATTTCTGAATAAAATTATATATATTCTTGCTCAGTACAAGTCTGATCCAGTCCAAACCTGGTCTCAAGCATGTTTGAGTATTAACTGGCACTTAGGCGTAAGCCATGGCATTTCAATCACTTTGGATTTGGTTTATGCTGCATATTAGCAGGGCTAATCTGGTGTTTGAGAGCAGATGATGGGGCAATTTTGGATTTCCATACTGGCTAAATTTTCTGAAACAACAATCTTTCTAAAGGGTTTTCTCTTTTTTTTACATTTTTTTTAATTCATTACCTCAGTCTGCTTTTTACTACAAGGAAGAAAATGCTTTTTCCATCTCAAGAAACCCTTCATCATTTGTGATGGACTTAACACCTCTGTCCTGTCTCTGAGGAATGTCTTCCTCTCAAAAGTTTTGCAGTCAATGGATTAGGGTCATTAGCTTCTTTCTTTAAGTTTCCTTTGGGGTTTTATTTTCAGTTGTTTGTTCGGATTTTTTTGGTCAGAATCAAACTAATGACAAATATTTCTCCTTCCAGTTCCTGTGGCTTCACTGAAATGTCTGAAATTTAATTTTCCTTGCTTGCCATAGTAAACAAATTAGTTGGTTGAAGCGTAGCACATGGAAGTTTTATATTCTCTCTGAGAATAAAAGTCCATTCATTTAGACCAGTAGGAACTAAAAGGCTCATCACTAGCCTCATTTTCAGGATGCATCTCAAGGCAGTAGGGACCAGCGCAGTCACCAGGGCTCTAGGTTATGGCTTCCCAACTGCAACCTAAGGGACTTGATGCTACAGGTAGGCATGAGAGAAACTTTTGCAGAAATTACTTTTGGCCAGATAATCCCTGAGAGTTGTCTAACTTCTTTCTCCTTTGCATCCCTTCAGTGATCATCATGATAGTTCTGTAACTTCTACTTAGACTAGACAAAATAGTTTAACTGCTGTCAATATTAAAAGCTGTTCAATGGCCTAGAAATCTGCAGGCTGAGAATACAATATGGAATCAGCAGGGCAAATATGTGTGATATGTAAATGTATGTAAATTTGTGAATACCACAGCTGAAGATGCATCTCTGCCTTTTTCAAGAAGCACCTCATTCCCATACAAAAGGCAGTCTGCTGGAGTTCTGATTGTACTTGTTACAGATATTATCCCATCTCACAGGCATAATGATACCGGATTCACGGCATGCAAAATCTATGCCTGCAAAAGCACATCTGAGCAAACTAAAGTGGAATGTCTGCTTAGCATTGTCTATAACATGACACTGAAGACTAGAACCAGTTGAAAAAATATTATCATTAACTTATCTTTGCTTATCACTTCACCTGCCCCCCAGGCTGTCTGTATTGAGGCAAATGAGAGACCCAAACTGTATGGCATTTAGAGTCCAGAGTACAAGTCTGATGAGGAGCAGTTGAGGGAGCTGGGGCTGTTTAGTCTGAAGAAAAGGAGCCTGAAGGTACCCCTTATTGCCACTTGGAATGTGATCATAATGAAATGGTTGTCGTCTCTTTTCCCAGATACCTGTGGCATTCAAATTCTCTGAAAAAATTCCTTCGCCCAGGATTTTTCTCCTGGGAAGCTGAGAAGCCTCAGAGAAAAGAAAAACAATTCTTACCTCATTTGTTTCCCTGTGTTTTGCTCGTTTGGAACGTGTTTGGAGATTGTTTATGCACAGGTGATTGTTTCATTGGATTCTGGTGTGAGTAGTTTTGACTCATTGGCCAATCAGCGCCAAGTTGTGTCGAGACTCTGGAAAGAGTCAAAAGTTTTCATTATTATCTTTTTAGCATTGAGTAAGTATCCTTTCTGTATTCTTTAATATAGTTCTGTATTCTTTAATACAATATAGTATCACAAAGTAATAAATTAGCCTTCTGAGAACATGGAGTCAGATTCATCGTCTCTGCCTTAGTCAGGGCATTCCCTGCAAATACAATAGGTACCATGTGATAAAATGAGAGGAAACAGCCTCCAGTTTCACAAGGAGAGGTTTGGAGTGCATATTAGGAAAATTCACTTTGCCAAAAGGGCTGTCAAGCACTGGAAGAGGATGCTTAGGGAAGTGATTGTGTCACCATCCCTTGAGGTGTTTAACAAAGACCTGTAGATATAGCACTTATCAACATGGCTTAGTAGTGGGCTTGGCAGTGCCAGGCTAATGGTTGGATTTGTTGATCTTAAGGGTCTTTTCCAACCTAGGTGATTCTGTGAGTCTGTATGTTCCTCGAGGATCTTGAATAGCACAGGTATGGGCACCACAAATACATGCTTCTCCCTGAACTCTAGCACTACAGAAAACACATGTGAGGACTTAGTCAATGTGCACATGAAAACCTCAGCTATTCCACTACTATTTCAGAGAAAAGAACCACAGAAAAACTTAGGACAGATCTCTAGAGAATGTAAGCTGAGCAACTCAGGACTTAATCAGTCTGCCTAGGATCCAACCAGGTAAAGTCCTGTCCACAGCCTCTTTGGCAGTGCGTTTCAGGGCTTGGCCCTCCCGTGGTTCTTAGCACCTCTGAGAAATTACATTCTTTGCTACAAAGACTGAGAAATAAATACATGAAGAATAAGTGGGGACTTCATCTGTGCATACAGCTAATTTGATATCAGCCACAATATGGCTGCAACATTATATATTATGCCTAAAGTAGTTACAATAACACCATAAAAATAAGAAACCAGTTCTGAAAAATAATTTCTGTCACATCCTGTTATCTGTGCATATTTTAAAGCCCAGATTTCTTAGAAAAACCTAAACTCTTTTTCTGCTGTCCCTTTGTGATCTCTTGACTACAGCTCTCTATATTGAGTAGTAAGTGATTTTCAAGGCTTCAGAAAAAAATGTCTTTCCTGATATTTTTCTGAAATATGCTGTGAAATCTGTTTGCAACAGATGATATTAGCCATAGAGACTTTTAAACCTCTGTTTAAAAATTAATTTTCTGAAGACAGTCACAATTATGAACAAAATAATGCATGCTTATCCCTCAACACAAGAGTTCATGCCTAAACATTCCCCTTTTTGCATAGCAACTTTTAATTGCAGAAAGTAGTTCACTGAATTGGTTTTCATTATTTAGATACCATGCTGGTTTTCTCGCTAAAGTTCCATATAGGTTCGGAGTCTTTTTCACATGTTTACCAAGAGCCATTACAATCTTTTTTCTTTTTCCTCTGTATCTATCTTCACATGATGGTTCAGTCCCACAGTTGTCATTTATTCCAGCCTATCTGTTTAGAAATATGAGGACAAATTATGTAAAACACAATCTTTTTCCTCTCAATTTTAGAGTTAAGGACAATCCAGTTTGAAGACCAGACCAAAGTTTAGACTTCACTTCCCATTAATGTGAAGATAATCAAGCTCATGAAAGTTTCCCCATATTTCAGTGGATGATGAATGATCATGATTTCACAAAGGGACTTAGACACCTGATAAGACTTATCCCCTTTTTGGCTGGAAGACTACTTAATGTTACAGCTGTTCCACCTTTAATTCTGCTAGTAGCCCTGAAACCCAAAAAAGCAAAGGAGCACAGCTGAACACCACCACACAACAAAAAGATAAAAAAATAAAATAAAGCAGAAAAAGGCCAGAAACTAAAATAGGATACGATACTCTGGACTGAGTGTCTCTAGTGCTTGTGTGCTACATAATGCAGCCCATGAAAACCACAGAATTCTGTGGATTTTGTGAACACATTTTTGGAGACTTAGGATGTTGCTTTAGAGATTTCATTTTGTACAGCTACTTGAAATTTTGCAGAATGTCCAGTAATATTCAAAGGTTCTGATTTATTTTTGTGGTGGAAAAGGTTGATGATTTCATGTTGCTCAATGAGAGAATTTCTGGTTTAGTAACCAAGAGAAAGATTTTGTTTTTTCTGTTCTGTTTACAATACCATTTATCCTTATATCATCACTTAAATGAGTATTTATTTAACACTGAATTCCCATCTTTCATTGAGATGTACAAGAAGAAGACATGCCTTAATTAAAAGGAGGATAGACTGATGTGAAAGTAGTAGGCCGTTGATTGTTAGTGAGGAGGGATATGAATTGCACTCATTAAAATAGAATGTTGAATAAGGACAGGCTATAAATCTGAAAATGGGTTGCCCCGGAGATGGGTTTTAGAAATAATTTTGCCTGTAAACCAAGGACCTGACAATAAAAAGAGTGACAGCATTGCTTTACACAGTGTACAAGAGGAAGAGATGTTTCTTTAGAAAGCTAAAGACCAAAGTCACTTTCTTTATAACAAATGTATGCCTAAATTTAAAAATACCTGCATTTCAAACATTATCAGGGAAAGCAATTATCATTAAATAAGTAATACAGTTTGCTTATAACATGAATATGACAAGAAAGAAAAGGACAAGAAATGATTGCTGAAATATGAAATTTAAGAAAGGGCAACCTTCAGAAATAGTGCTTATTATATTTGAAAATTGAGTTAAGCTCATTTTGCATGAAACAAAGGCTCAAAATGAAAGTTTAGCACATCCCCTTTTTAGGCATTCTTTTCGTGATTCAGAATTGTGCAGCAATATTAGGAGAGCTGTAAAACAAAGCCTCTTTCAGAAGTTCTTCCTAGAGGTGCAAGTGACGTAATGACCCTCAACCAGACAAGCTGGCATTTTAATCTAGACTGAGAGGACAGTATAAAATTATATCATAGGTCAACACAGCCCTAGCCAAGCTGGAAAAGAGAACAAGCCTCTCTGCCTGTACACTTTGGAGGATCATAGAGCTGGTAATGCAGACAGATGAGCGAGAGATTCAGAACAGCTTTGCTGTGAAAAGTAAAGCTTCAGAAACTAATATAAAAGGCAGGAAGCCACAGAATTAAGAAAACAGTGACAGGGAAGAAATTAGTGTAGAGTGAAGGAGGTCATAATACAAAGCAAAGTGGCAGCCAGATAAGCAATTTGTTGTCAGTGGCAGAGAAGGGAGGCAAGCAGCAAAGGGGAGAGTGAGGGGGAATTCAGCTAGTATGCTGGTTTTGACAAAACATTCCAGCACCCCAAAGAATGTGTTTCTCTTTAAGAGGACTTTTTCTCCACAGTCTCATAAGGGAAGAAGAAAATGACAAGGAAAAATAAATGTGCTCCAGTAAAAGGGAAAAAAAAAAGAACAGGAAACATGAGATAAAATAAAACTGCAATAACATGTACTGCACTCAGCTTAAAATCTTTTAAAAATAATCAATAGAATCAATAGTTAGTTTAATGGCCTCCATAACCACTGATCACACAACTTGAAGAATTCTAGTAAAGATGTTGATAGTAATAACAGTAGCATTAGAGACCTGAAATAATGAAGGTGTTATTTTTCTGTTGTAATGCAAAGTAACACCTGTCATTTTTGCTTAGCAGAATTGATTCCATCAAAGATCATTTGTTCCATTGAGCCAGTTATTATGTAGCCATAATAATTTTACCAACACTAAATATCAAAGCATATTGTTAAAGAAACCCACTCTCTTCTGCAATACTGCTGAAGATGTAATCCAGAAAGGATAGAGTAGTACTATCTGTTTGCCTCCATATTAGTAGAACAAGCCGTTCCATCTTGGAATGTTTTAATTATGTAAATACATGGTAATTTTTGATTCAAATAATATTTTCTTTCACTCTAAATTTGGCAGTAATATTACTTTGACTTTAAAAAAACATTATCCCAAACAGATATTTGGATAAATAATTGCTTAGAAATACATGCACATGAATACATGAAATAATTTGCTTCGAAATACGTGCAAACACCAGAGTTTCACAGTAGTAGACCAAGCCAATTACTACTCTTCAAAACATGCAAACAAAGCTGCACAATCAATGCTTTTTCTGGGTCTTTACAATTACCCATGCTGACAATGTAACCAGTGTAAATATATCTGCTCAGCTGCTATTCAGTTTATCCCCTCTGACTAAGACAGTTGGGAAATGTCTTACTGGTTCATAGTGAATGAAGAATGAAAATTTCTTGGTTATGGTTATAGGAATTGAGATGCCCAAAGTTCACGGGTCAAACTTTAACCTGCAGAGAATACCATAAAAGTAGCCAAAGAAAAACAGAAGAGCCCTTCAAAAAATTCACACAGCTCCTTGCAAAAACTCACAGAACCAGAAGAATGATACTACACAGAAACAAAAATTTCTCTGTAATCAAGCTCCACATTATGCTAAAAAGGGCATTTGAACCATACATTACTCCTGACCAGTAGTCTGAAGATCTTAGGGGATGTTACCTATGGCAGGAAGAGGTGATATAAATATCCTGAAGAAAAGACTGAGATCAAAGTTCTACTTGATTAGCAGGAGTTGTGATCCACTCCAGGTAAAGCAGACCTGATCCTTTTCTGCAAACACATTTCCTGTCCAACAACATGTCTGGATATTGTTCAGCAATCCCACCATCAGGAACACTTCTCACTCCTACATTAAGTCTCAGAATGAAGATTACTTACAGCTGTAGGTAGATACACAGTAAAGAGAGAAACTTGCAGAGATAATAACGAGCCAATTTGGGAGCTCTGTCTTTTGGGAAAAAGATTATGCGGAAATATGCATATATAAAAACTGCTCTAATATAATCATACATTATTTTCCACAGAGTTATTTGGAAAACATGAATAAAATTCATTAAATCATTTTCTCATAAAGTCAGCAGTAGTTAAAAATATTTTAAATGTATGATGAGCAATGTAGGTCACCAGAAATTCACTTTTCCACTGGGATAAA